GCGATTTGCTTCAGTGGTCGTCTTTCTGGCCGCGTTGTGCCTCAGTTTTTGGAACGGTTTATCATCTACGGCTACCGGGGGTGTTGACCCGTCCTTTTTCCCATCATACTCCAGACAAGCGGCCGTCTTCGATCATTCTCAGTAGCGATGTTGACATGGAAGTCCAAGGGCCTTACGGAGTATTATCTTATTCAGGGTTTGGAGTCAAAACCATAGTATCTGTGTGTTTTTTCAGCCCTTGGGAGAGTTTTACGGAGAAAGGCGTCGGATAGTGAGACAGCGGAGCATACAACTTTGTGACGAATTAACAAGGCCTCCCCTTAGAAAAAACCGACACTGGCAATTCCGCAATCCATCCCATCATCCCATGATAATGAGGTTGGCTGAAGTTTCTTGGTGTCGGTTTCGATTTTGGCAAGCGATAATTTACACTGCTGATGATGCATTACCCTGGTCCTGCTTCCATTGATATGCCTTCTGCAAAAGCTTGGATAGGCTTGCTGTCGACTCATCGTCGGCGGGGAAAACATAGTCCATATATTCCTCGTAACGGTCTTCTTCGAGCTTGCGTCTCTTTTTGATCTTTCGCGGCATTTGTTTCTCGACAGCTGCGATATCTGCTGGTGTGCCATGAGTGTGCTCGAAAGATTTCCATGCATTGAGCAATGCCACCCTCTAAAAAAAGTGTCAGTTAGACTATGATAGTATACTTCAGCTTGGACAAAGGAACGTACATCTTCCTTCAACTCCTTCTCTTTCATCACTTGATGCGCTCGTTCGAAAATCTTTCTAGCCCGCGACTTTGCTTCTTCACTGACAGGCTTCTCCTCGTCTTCTTCGTCTTCATTTTCCGGGATGTTGATTTCAAACCGCGCATAGTTGATCCAGACTTTGACATGGTCTGTCTTTTCAAGTAAACGTTCATAAAGTTTTCGAGTGCGGTCATACTCGCCTTCGTATTCCTCGAAATCTATATATGATTTCCATAGGCAGTTCAAGGCATATCCAATGACAACTGGCGTATTCCAAGTTCGTATATCGCCCGTGCACGATCGAGATCGTCTAATCCTCTCTCTAACTCGGCAAATTTTATCCAAGCTTGCGTTTGAGACGGGTTCCACTGGATTTGCTTTTGGAAGAGTGTTCGACACCGTACGAATTCAAACAGCTGTCGTTCTAAGTCGATATAGCCCCTGAACAACTTATCCTTCGGGCAAGCTCCGACAGCATGACCAAGAGTTTTCCTCGCCGCAGAGATGTCCATTTGTCGAATTTCGAATTGGGCTTTTAGAAGCCAGATTTTGGCGAAAGTGAACTTCTTGTGCGGAATCAACTTCAAACACTCTTGGTATATTTGGCGAGTCCGTCCAAAATCTCGGTTTTCCATTTCCTCCCACAGAGCGTAGAATATCCACAGATAGATATATCGGCGCCAGTGACGCTTTTCCTGAGATGGTGGGACTTGCGCAATCGCTCGTTCATAAAGATCCCGGATTCGGTCGACATTCCCAGACGTTTCTTCCAATCGAATATAATCGAACCAGGTATCATAGTTTTTAGGGTTTTCCTTCACTTGCTCCTCATATTGAACCCTTCGTTTTGAAAGAATCACATCTTCAACGCCTGCTTGATCACCAAATTGCTTTTCAAATGTTGTGTAAGCTTTGTGCAGAGCAATCGATTTCGAGCGCGGTAGCCTGTCAAGGGCATATTTATATATGGCTCTTGCACGTTCGTATTCTTTCAATTTGGTTTCATATCGTGCATACGAAATAAACAATTTCTCATCCATGAAATCATCGCCTAGGGTTTCAATGGCCAAACCAAACACCTCCCTCACAAGCTCGCTTGTGCCATTTTCTTCTTCAAAACGGACCCATTTGATCCAGTTCCTGGGCTCAGGGTGCACAGTGGTGAAGCGCTCAAAAACAGCCCGCGCTCTATCGAATTCATTGTAGCGCTTTTCGAGTTTTATATATGCACTCCAGGCCCCTTCATCAGGTTCCCACGACATCCATCTTTCACATACTTGCCGGGCACCTGCAATATTTCCCAGCATTTCTTCCATGTATACATATTTGTACCAGAGCTTATCCACTCGGGGAAGAATAGTCACAGCCCGATCAAGGAGGTTTCTTGCATGATTGATATTTCGCGATTTCATCTCCGCTTCGATATACCGAATCCATAGCACCACAGATGTGGAATCCACATCTAATGCGCGTTCGAATATCGATCGCGCCCGACGAAATTCCTTTTGTTCCAATTCCCATTGCGCATAGCGCATCCAGTTGTTCATGTTAATCCTATTTCTCCGTACATAATCCTCGAATTCCTTCCTTTTCCTGCCCTGATATTCATGGAGTTCTTCAAGATCAGCAAATCGCTGCGTCGGAGCTTGCAAACCCGGTTCCTGGCGATCCACAGCTTCACGGAGAAGCTGTTCTGCTGAAATTTGTTGCGGCGCTGGAGCCTTGTTTTTGACCCGTGGCGGGCCCCGTGACGACTCCATATTGTATTACCCAGCGGCTTGCCGAATATGGCCTCAGAAGCTAAAAGACACAAGCTGGAGAAGGATCCCAAGAATCTGATCCTGAATGAAGTGTGAGGTAGAGGTTTCGTTGATGATCTCAAGCTTCACTTCACTAATTATGTTAGTTGGGTTAGTTTGGTGAATAGCTGGTTAACTTAGTGAGTTAACTAGTTAGCTAGTTAGTAGTTAGTTAATTAACTAGCTAACTAGTCAAGTCACGTGATCTTGTGGCTCATAAGCCAGTTAATCTAGTTAATTAACTATCCCCAAACATCTTGTACTCTGGTTGCCGTAAACCTATCTTTTTATATCTTATATATACCATATCAATGTGTTAAATTCCCAGGGCATCATGGCAACCTTAGCAGATGAGCTATTGAACGACTTTGAGGACTCTGACTCAGAAAATGAATTAAAACAGGAGCACCTCCATGTCAAATCCCCGAGTACGCCAAATGCCGAGCCGCTCCTTCATGGCCCAGGAATGCCGGAGGATGAAAATGAAAATGAGATGCCGGAGGATGGCAGCTTTTTTGGAGAAGGCTTGATTTCGAATGATGGGGCAACTGAGGGACAGGAACAAGAGGACGCGAAAGTTCGCATCGAAACTATGGAATTTACTGGTGTTAATGATATACGGAATGTTGCACGCTTGATGAAAACTTTGCGGCCTATTCTGGATGTGAGTATTATCTCTTCAACCCAGATCTTCTTCGTTGCGGTTTGCATTCTTGGGGCTAAGTGATATCGGTTTGTCCTCATTTTTACCTTAGAAAATCTCATATTATCAGTCGTTACCGGCGCAGCAACAGACAACACCTACCGGTTCGATTGAGGATAATCCAGAGTATCACCTTCTTACGGAATCAAATTCTCTTTCTACATCCATCGACAATGAAATCATACTAGTACACAAGTTCCTCAGGGACCACTATTCTACCAAATTTCCCGAGCTGGAGACGTTGATCACAAACCCTTTGGATTATGCAAAAACGGTCGCCATACTGGGAAATGGCCCTTTGAACGACATAAAATCGTTGGCGTCCTCAACCGATAACTTGGTCGGAACGAATCTGAGATCTGTACTCGATGGGCCCTTGCTCATGGTTGTTGCGGTCGAAGGCACGACTAGTCGGGGAAAGGACCTTTCGGATTCGGAACTTCAAACCGTTTTGGGAGCGTGTGAGATGATGTTGTCTCTTGACAAAGCTAAATCTATCCTCACGGATTATGTCCAGTCACGGATGAATATCTTTGCACCCAATTTAACTGCTCTTATTGGATCTCTCACAGCTGCGCAGCTCTTAAATTATGCCGGCGGTCTTACCGGCCTAGCCAAAATGCCGGCGTGCAATATACCGCCATTAGGATCGAAGAAGCAGACGCAAGTCGGGTTTGCCACCAATGTCGGGATTAGACACCAGGGCTTCTTGTACAATTCGCCAATTATCCAAGGTATCCCAAACGATTTGAAGCGCCAGGCTATGCGTATACTGTCAGCCAAACTAGTTTTGGCGGCGCGTGTTGATAGGGTACATAGCAGCCGCGATGGCTCAACCGGCGAAGAGCTAAGGCAATCCTGTTTAGAGCGCCTAGAGAAATTGACAGAGCCACCTCCCAATAAAGGACCGCGAGCTCTTCCTGCTCCCGACGACAAACCTTCTAGAAAGCGCGGCGGACGCAGAGCACGGAAAGCAAAAGAAGCTACTGCAATGACCGATTTGCGGAAGGCCCAAAATCGCCTAGCGTTTGGCAAAGAAGAAAAGGAAGTTGGCTATGGCACTGGCGAAGGTACCAAAGGCCTCGGTATGCTTGGCCAAGAGAACTTGGGACGGATTCGTGCTGCTCAAATTGACCAAAGAACCAAGGCCAAATTGAGTAAATCAAATAAAGGGTGGGGTGCTACATCGACCGTAGGCGGAACCGCATCATCGCTACGCGCCTTCGGCCATGGGGCTGGTAATGCATCTGTATTACGCGCTCAAGGACTCCGAACTGGTGGAGTCGGACCGTCCGTCGGGTCGGGAACGGCGAGTACAATTGCGTTCACTCCAGTACAGGGCTTAGAACTGGTAGATCCAAAAACGCAGGCGGAGCTGAGCAGAAAGCGAAAAGCGGAAGAAGATAGATGGTTCAAAAGCGGGACTTTCACTCAAATTGGAAACCAGGCATCAGAAAACGGGGGTTTCAAAGTCCCACCGTTACCACCGCGTAAAAAGGCGACCACTGACAACGGCAAAACGACTGCACCGCCGCCACTCCCATGAATTGAAGGAAGGTGAAGGGGATTCCGGAAGGATTTACTTGAAGGCCTTCTTACACTTCAGAGTTGCTATAATGTGATGACCTTTCGTCCGAGAGCAAAGTATTTTTTTGCCCTTTGACCCCCTTCACACTGCCCTAATCACTTTTTTGAACAGATATCAACATTATTACTCCCTTGCAACGGCATCGGCCTCCTATTTCAGTCTTTAGTCCAGTTCACGAGAATTCACGCAAGCTCGGATGGCCAACAACTTTGGACTGCATTAGAATCAAATGCCGCTATGTAGTCGCTAGCCTGGGGTATGCAAACGACGAGGAGACTGGGGGCTAGAAAAATCATGGGCTTGCTCAAAAATCGGTTTGATAATCCGACGCAGGATTCCTCCGCTTGCTGCGTTTGGGTTGATTATTATTGGTGTCAGTAGTGAAGGTAACATCAGGACTGGACGGTTGAGACTCGATCGGCTCCGTCAAATTTTGCCACTCCAAAAGGGGCGTAGGACCCTTTTACTCCTACACGATTACGAGATGTAGGACTTCCTCTCGATGAGATTATGGACATAGCAAGTAGTAGGTAGACCGCGTTCAGCAGCTCTGGTATGGAGTACTGTGGAGGCCTCCTCCAAGCATTACATATTGGGATGTGTACTGTGCAGCAACACAAGGCCCATCAATTACAATCATGAGGTTATTCACCTCTTCGTATTGCATTTCTTCTCTCCCCTGTTCCGAATGTTGGCAATTCCTCCGTGTTCAGCTGAGTTGCGGAGCATTCGCCATCCCGGCCGGAAAACCCCTGGTTTGCTGACTAGCAAAGTCTGATCACCTCTGTGCCCCTCCATCAGCTTTCCCCAAAATCCCACCACCACCTCACCATCCTCCCATTCTCTGTTTTGACCGTCTTCCCTGGTTACAACTACTCTCCCTCCCTTTAAAGTAAGGCTCCCGTTTTTCCATCTTTCCATCGCCTCTATATCGCAACATTGTTCTAACAAACCCCTTGCAGGTCAATCCATCACCTGAACTAAAATCTCGTCAAATATGAGTGCCCCTGCCCACAAGTTCAAGGTCTCCGACATTGTATGTCAACCCAAAGCCAAGACTACGTATGGGAGCACAATGAATCTAATTCTTTGTTTTTCTAGTCGTTGGCTGCCTTCGGGCGCCGCGAGATTGAACTCGCGGAGATCGAAATGCCAGGCCTCATGGCTATCCGGCAGAAATATGCTCAAGATCAGCCATTGCAAGGGGCCCGAATTGCTGGTTGCCTTCACATGAGTGCGTCTACAATTTACGGCCAAATCATCCGTTTTTTAGGGGCTAACTTGGGTTTTCAGCCATCCAAACTGCGGTGTTGATCGAAACCCTTAAAGCCCTTGGTGCGGAGGTCACATGGTCGAGTTGTAACATTTTCTCCACGCAAGATCATGCCGCTGCCGCTATTGCTGCTGCGGGAACCCCCGTGTATGTCGTGTCCCCGGTATTCGTCGATCTATAGCAAGTTTAACTAACGGCCTGTAGCTTTGCCTGGAAGGGCGAGACTGAGGAGGAATACATCTGGTGTATTGAACAGCAATTGTTTGCATTCAAAGACGGAAAGAAACTTAACCTCATCCTTGATGATGGTGGTGACTTGACGTCTTTGGTACACAAGAAATACCCTGACATGCTCAAAGATTGCTATGGTCTGTCTGAAGAGACGACAACTGGCGTTCACCATCTTTACCGAATGCTAAAGAACAAAGAGCTTCTTGTTCCAGCAATCAACGTGAATGATTCGGTGACAAAATCGAAATTTGATAACCTTTATGGCTGCAGAGAGTCGCTAATTGATGGTATCAAGCGTGCGACTGATGTTATGATTGCAGGTAAAATCGCAGTGGTCGCAGGATTTGGTGATGTGGGTAAAGGATGTGCCCAGGCGCTTCACAGCATGGGTGCCCGAGTCATCGTTACTGAAATTGATCCTATCAACGCATTGCAGGCTGCAGTTGGAGGATTTGAAGTCACAACTATGGAAGAAGCAGCACCATTGGGTCAAATCTTCGTCACCACCACCGGCTGTCGAGATATTTTAACTGGATCTCACTTCGAGGTCATGAAAAACGATGCCATTGTCTGCAGTGAGTTTTCTTCTAAGCCGCGCCTCTTAAACTAGTCCTAATCCCTTTAGATATCGGGCATTTCGATATCGAAATCGATGTTGCCTGGCTCAAGGCAAATGCCAAATCGATTCAGAACATCAAACCCCAGGTTGACCGCTATTTGATGCCGTCTGGTCGGCACATTATCCTTCTCGCGGAGGGCAGACTTGTCAACCTTGGTTGCGCCACTGGACATTCGTCTTTTGTGATGTCCTGCTCCTTTTCCAACCAAGTCCTGGCCCAAATTATGCTTTATAAGTGCCAGGACCCTGATTTCGCTAAAAGGCATGTTGAATTCGGTGCAACAGGAAAGCTCGGAGTCGGTGTTTACGTACTGCCCAAAATCCTCGACGAACAAGTCGCGTTCTTCCACCTGGAACACGTAAACGCTAAATTATCGAAACTCACAGCCAAGCAGGCGGAATATCTAGGATTAGATGTTGAGGGACCTTTCAAAAGTGAAATGTGAGTTTTCAGAATCCGTTCTTGGCCTCTTAATATATGATGTGCTTATCCATCTATCGCAGTTACCGATACTAATTGCATTTTCGAACCCACTTCACCGTCTCAACGCAGCACCACCATTGAGTTTTCAACATGACACGATATTATGAACCAGAAGGATGGCTCTTCTGTGAGTCATAGGTGTAAGGGAATTGTCTTTCAACAGCAAAATTATGGGGTTTAATGGAAAAATAAACGGGTCTTCCTTTCGTGTTGGAGTACATACATTACTGCATTGCATTCTACGCTTTTTGTTATAATACAATAACCAAGATCAAAGGTCATCATTCCTGCAAACCATATTTTCTAGTCTCAGCCAAAACCATACTTTTTCCTCCGTGAACTAGTCAGAACAATAGCAGTATCCCTAAGATGAAATTATCCGAGTCCTTAACCATGTAATTGATTAATAGTTTTTGCATTCTCCTTTTTGCCCCAAAGGAATCCCGCAAGTCCATTATTTTCAGCCCAGAGGGTTGTCAGAAATTTTTGCATTTCCGGGGAATTGTCAACGGGTGGCCTCGTTCAACAAACTAAAACATGCTGTTGCGGTAATCCCTGTGGCTTGTACTTGAATACTAGGTGCAAATATGGTAATTAGCATTTCTCTGAAAGCATCAATTCAGGACTCTGGGGGGTAATTAAGGATATATGCGTGAAAATCAGATCAAGTGTAGAAGATGTGTCAACACACAATTTCACAAGACAGAGCAGGAAAATTGTCAGCATTGCAGAATTCTTTTGCTCATCACAATATATAGATATAAAACATTTGAAAGGCACTTACATCTATGTTGAGTAAATGGTGAATGTGGGTGAGCTTTGGGGTGGAGTGTCTTGTTCTTGACCTCCGATCATTGTTGATAGTTAAGCGCCCGTGGACTTGGGATGAGTTGACTAACTAATAATTTGTTAGTTAACTTGTTGCTTTAACAAGATTAACTAGTTAACTAGTTGGTTAACTAGCTATGGAGTGCTTTGTAGTTTATTAGCTAGTTAGCTAATTCACGTGACATGGCCCAAACTTGAAGCTAAGAAGTATCCCGTCAGCTCAACTCAGTGGGGCTTGTGTTGAAGCATCTATGAGGTTGATGGATCCCTGAGCAACCTTTGATTGTTAGGACACCCGTTGCCTCAGGACTATTTCGTATTTTTATTGAAGATCTACGAATTCCATTCATCGTCTCTCGCACATCCTCGAGGATTAATAGCTCTTTCAAATGGCCGAGTCACCAGGCTCGCCCCTTTCTTCTCTTGCATCAGAGGAATTTGTCGAAGACCTTCGATTTGAAGATCGGGCTCAGTCCCCTTCTTCCACCCACTTACCCCCTTCGAAACGGCGTAAGACGGGGCCGACTGCCTGGGATCGTCACACTCCGATATCTTCTACGCACGAGGAAATCGGTCCTACCTCTCCTTCTTCGTCGATCTCATCCGATAGCTCCGCTGAACTACCGCCTTCTCCCGGTCTCCTATCTCTCATCGGCAGCGGTATCGATGAAGATTACAGCGGTGTGGGTAGAGACCAAGTCACGGTTTGTCAGTGGGAAGGATGCGACGCGAACAACTTGGGCGACATGGATGCTCTAGTGAAGCACATACACGAAAATCATATCATTTCCAGACAAAAAAAGTACTTTTGTGAATGGAAGGATTGTCCGCGAAAAGGTCAAACTCATGCTAGTGGGTACGCATTGCGTGCTCATATGAGGAGCCACACCAAGGAGAAGCCGTTTTACTGCTCATTACCTGGTACGTGTGGACTCTCGCCTCTTACCTTTCGTTTGTCATCGCAAATGAGCTGAAGACGCATATTCTAATTAATTGTCAACAGAGTGCGACCGTAGTTTTACACGATCCGATGCCCTTTCAAAGCATATGAGAACCGTCCATGAAACGGAAGCATTAAAACCTTTCGACGCTCTAGGGAAACACAGCGCTCAATCCGGGTCAGCGGGAATTAACTTACTCAAGTTGCCGCGAATTAAGCTCAAATTGTCGCACAGCTCTAGAGACGGTATCCTAGAGAGTGGAAAGGAGGACAAAGCGGACGCTCCCCAAAGAAACGAGCAGGCCCAATCTCCGCCCGCAGATACTGGACTCGAATTCGATGCTCACGAGCTCTCTTTACCTCTGAGCCAACTACACAGGCTACTCCGTCGACAAATCTACTGGGCCGAGCAAGAATCCAGACACCTGGAATCAGAGTGGCGAACAATCATAATCAAAAGGAGAAAAGCGTGGAGAGAAAAAGAGTCAATCCTAGAAGACGTTATTCATGCGGAAGTCAAACTGTTCAGGTCAACCTTAACAGCCGAGGATTTGGCACTCGGACAGAGCATCATCCAACCGATAGCGCCGTAGTTGTTGTCTGAAACGCAGTTACGAATATTTGAACACCTTTGAACATAGCTATTTGTAAACAATTTCAATAATCGCCTTAAGAGATACGACGTTGATAAATGAGATTTGCTCACTTGGAAGTTTCTGGTATTCAACGACCCATTATTATGTAGCCTGACATGTGTAATTCTACTTTGTTTTGCGTGTTTTGAATGGTTTGATACAAGCTAGGGATTACAACAATGTACCCTTAAGGGTTGATATATGTCAAACAGCAGCTGGCAACAGCATCCTCAATATGTGGAGGCGGGGAAAGAGTTTAACTTGATCTAGAGTATGGAACCATGTACA